ATCAATGAATGTTAGCTCATTGGATTCGTCTAGTCTCGAGGAATCGAATGGTAATTGTTTCATACGAATATGAGCGATACTGACCGAGATCATACATCTTTTGTTTTTTTGTTTTTTCTATATATTAAAAATCATGTGATATGACGTGATTTCGACCATTTCGACTTTTCATTTCGACTTTGACCTCCAAAGTCGAAATATTTTATCTTTTGGGTTTTCATTTCAACTTCATGTATAGTTACAGTTACAGCTATTACCATTGCATTATACTTTTATATTATCATTAGAATAAATTTGTAAATTAAACTTTCTTGTATTACTTTTAAAATGGATTAAATTTGACTATCATGTAAATATATTTAAATTTTGCAGAAATTTTATTTATTGATCTTTGTAAATTATTTGCATTTAAAATTTTTAATTAATTAAAAAAAAATAAAATAATAATTTTGTTTCTTTTAATTTTTTGTATTACATTAATTTATTTGTTGATTGATTATGTTTTTGTATTATAATTATATTTTGAGATCATAAAGAAAATATTATTTCTTTTATTTTCCTTATTTATAATGATAGATTTCTTTAATTTATTTGTTGATTGGTTATGTTTCTATATCTGTATTATTATTATATTTTAAGATCATGAAAAAAAAATTTATTTCTTTTATTTATCTTATTTGTAATAAATGGTAGATGTCTTTAAATTATTTAAAAAATTATAATTTTTTTATTTTTCTTATTTGTAATGGTAAACTATACTAATATTTATTTTTTTATAAAGAATTTTTACACAATATTTGTTATATTATACTTTTTTGTTACATATTATATATTATTATTTTTTTTATATTATATTAATTGAAATATTTTTCATGATTAATTTTATTTTCATTAAAATACAAATTTATAAACTTTTTTGTTATATTTTTATTTGATATTTTGTCTTTTTGATTTATTGTTTCTTTTTAATATATGGAACGTTTCCAGTAAAATCAAGTCATGAGACATAGTAAATCATATGATCCGTAATGTGATTTTACTGGAAACGCTCCCATATATTAAATTTTATAAATTTTTGAAATAATTTTTCATTAGTAATATTTTTTGATCTGTTAATTATTTTTTAATTTAATAATTAAGTTTATTTGCTTTTTTTTGTGATACAAATTTTATTTATTTTATTTGTAATAATAGTATATTTATAATTATTTTTTTTATCTGAAAATTTTTTACATATTAATTTTGTATGCTTTTTTGTTACGATATATAAAACATTGTATTGTATGTTCATCTTTGTATTATTTGAAAAAAATCATTACATTGTTTATTATTTATTTTGCATATTGTTTTCTTTTTTTTGAAAGATAAATAAAATTTTTCTACTTTTTTTGTGTTAGTTTACAATAATGTGCTTATATTTAAATTATAAACATTATTAATTTTATAAAAAATATAATTATTTTTATATAATTAAAAAATTATAAAAAGATTTTTTTCGAAAATCTAAAAAGCAAATTATTATTCAAAAATCTAAAAAATGAATTATTGATCTAATTTTTTTTCTTTTAAAAAAAAAAGTAAAATACATTTTGTTAAATTTTTTCATTTTTTAAAATTAAAAAAAATTAAATCAAATTAAATACTTACTCAAATATTAAAATACTGATTTATTTAATTCCAAAATAAATTTATTCAATATATTAGCTCAATTATTTATCATTCAAAATAAAAAAAAGATTTCAAGTAATTATTTTATAAAAACTGCTGTTGGACTTGATGAAAATAATTCAACATTAATTTTTAATATTACTGTTTTTTATATTATTGAAGAATTGAAATCAACTTATGTTCCTAAATTAAAAAATAGTCTTATTGTATTTGTTATAAATTCAAAATTTACAAAAAGTTTAAAAAATCGTGAAATGAAAAATATATTTTTTTTAAAGAAATGTCTATTTATTTTAAATTAATTTATTAATATGTTGATTTTCCTTATAATGAATTATATAATTTATTTTATCTAATTTTAAATTCTGTAATTATTTTACCTATTTTTTCTGAAGATTTACTAATTCATCAAATAAATATAATAAGTGTAGTTTTGACTTTTGAATCTGCGATTATTAATGAAATTAGTAGTCAGTTTGAATGTATCATAATAGACTATATAAGTAGTGTGCTATTAAAATTGAGATACAAGTATATTTGGCATAGTAATTATCTTAATTAAGTATATATGTAATACTTAATTACCATTTTTTTTAAAAAAACATAATTGCGAAATTAATTATGGGTAGTAATTAATTATAGGGACGTTACGTTGAATTATATATAAAAAGGTTAAGTAAACTGGTTTGAAACTAGATAATTAGTTCAGCTAAATCAAATTATAATTATTTAATAAATTTCTATAGGGATTAATTAGTATTAAACCAAGGATTACTTAGTATTGAATTTAGGATTAATCACTGTTGAATCATTGGTAATTAATTCGTTGATTTAATCTATTTAATTTCAACTTATAGTACTAATTTAATGCTGATATGTTTCGATAAAATTTTATATAAAAAAAGTTTTATTGCATTTTTGTTTCTTTAATTGTTTAATATTTATATTAACAATTCTTAAATTTTTTTTAAATTACAAATTCCAAAAATGTCTATTACAATTGTAATGATCAGATAAAAAAATGCAATATTTAATTGATTTAAGAAGGGAAAGAAATGATATTACTGAAGAAGTTTTAGAAGATCAAAGTTAACTTTTTGAATGAGATTGTGATGCAGATTCAAAAAAGATTTACAAGGGTATTTAATGGATTGCTGGTAAGGAAAAAATTTAAAAGAATAGTCAGGGATTGTAAAGTAAGTAAATTACTAGTAAACAAAAAATAAAATATTTATATTAATTGTATTTTACATTAATTATTTAATAATTTTAATTCTTTAGTTGTTTGAATTATATGCTAATGAGAACGTAAAAGGAAAGTGGATACATATTGGAGAAGTTTTTGGAAAATAATTCAAAATCCCATTTTAGAAGATATAAGGTTGGAATAATAAAATTTTCCAATTGATATTAATTGAAGAAAAATATTTATTAAAATTCAATATTTATATTATTTAGCATCTTGAGTTCAAAAAAGAAGGTGTGCAAGATTGGCCGTCAGAAATCAAGGTAAGAAATTTATTTAGTTTAATTTTAATATAATTTTACCAAAATTTAAATTTATATTTTTTAGAATCATTAACTCCTCTCCTAACAACTCCTCACAATCTGATATCTATAACCTTTAATAATCTGCTTTTTCTAACTATTTTCACTCTTTTTTTCAACTATTATTACTTTTTTTTTATCTTCATAATTTTTTACAACTAGTAAATCTTCCCTTTATCTATTCATTATCTTCACTTATCCTTTTTCACTCAGTTTTTTTTATAAATTATTTTCCAAATTCCATTAAAAAAAAATCTGAATGAAGCTTGCCACCTCTACATGATGTTCAGAATCAACACTTGTAAGTTAATCTATATTTGGCTAAGAGCATGCATACATTTGTTACTTTAATTTGTTAGTTATTTATTATTTAAATTTATTTGTTTTACATTATTTCCAAACTTATTATATATCAAATTTGAATATGATATTCAGTATTATTATATAATGGATAAATTGTTAAAATTCAGTATACATGTTACCGAATTTTCTCATATAACGAATTTTAACCTTCAAAAATAGAGATTCATTATAGTGAGATTCAACTGTACAAATTTATCATGACCACTTTCAAATAAAGTTTTCTCCTGACAGGAATCACCAAATTGTTGACCTGATTTTCCTTGCCTTCTCAGGTTAACAAACACTTATTTACTTTTTATTTAGTTCTTCCAGTGTATAATTTATTTTTGAGTTAATGTTAAATGTTAAATCTGAGAAATTAAAATTTTAATTTTTTTAGAGTTTTCTCCCTTTCTACTGCAAAACTCTTATTTGCTTTTTGATAGAAATAACAATTATAATAAAGTTTTATTAGCTTTCTTATGTGATGTTTTTTTTACTGATAAGATGTTAACCATTTTTATTAGTATTTAATTAAGGTTGCAAGGGTAAAATAAACAACTTTATTAATTAGGAATTCTACAAGCCTTTTCTTTAGACTTATCATCACAAACTAGATAGTCTAATTAAATCTTTTGAGAGAAACTTTTACGACTTGTTATTTTCTCTGTTTTTCTCTAGATTGAATTCCCGATCTATTTATACAAAATCTTTGTTTCAATTTACTAGAAAACATAATAAATTTAACAAATCAACTAATAAAAAAAAATAATCAAGATATGTAAAACATATTTGATATGCTATAGCAGAAATATTTGACATTTTTGATAGTTATCGCAGTTGCTGCGCCAATCGTAGCGTTAGACGGAGGTATTCCTAGACGATAGAAAATAATTTATAAAATAGTTTACCTGCCCTGATGCAACAATTTTCGAAGAATTTTAAACCAAATTACCATGAATTAATACTTCTAAGATATTCAGAGCGAATCCAAACAATCCAAAGATTCAAACCAATTATACTTCTTCATGAAGTTCTTCTAGAGAGAAATAAATGATAACAAAAAAATACCAAGAAGAATGGTATATCAATATATTGGAAAATAAGAGAAGGTTCATCAGGAGTTTACTTTATTTCTCCCTTGAACCCTGCTTTTTTATAAACTTATTTTAATTCGATTTTACTTAGCCGGCTGAGTTCTTTCTTAATGTATTATAAAGAATATGTTTTGATTGAATTTTATTATTATTGAATATATATAATACATTTATTCGCATTTATTTTTTGTATAATAAAATCAATAAATAAAATAAAAATAGCTGGCAAGAAAATTTGGATATTACGACGTATCTAATATTATTTATTTATAAAAGAACACCTTCCTAGTAAATGTGAAGAAGTTAAGCTAGTCAACATGATGAGAAAAAAATACATTTTTATTTTCAAATGCTCCACCAAATATCCAGAGCATTGAAAAGTTTCTGCAAAGGTTCCTTAAACAATTTCATTTCTTCAGGAAACGTTTCTTGAAGATTTTTTTTTGCCTGTGCTCGAGATTGTAATTCACCCCTATGGAATTCGTGGTTGCTTCGAAGTTTCATCAATATCAACAGTTCATAGTCATAGAATGACATGTTAACACTCTTCAAAAGATTTTCCACCTTTAAAATAGCTTCTTTATCCGAATCAGCGTAATCTTGTTTTCCACCTAAAACTTTCTTATAAATGGCAGTTTGTGCTCGGCTCCCTACTTGTGGTAACTTTTCTTTTATTTCTTTATTAAAATACGAAATCCAGTCTCTGTATTCGCTCAGAGCATTCTTATTTTCCAATTTATTTATTAATTTATCCACAACGTTCACAAGATCCTTAGTGATGGAGTGCATTTCTTCCATCATATCAATGAAATTTTCTGTGTTATCATTTAGTCTTGCCAGGTTACCTGCGCAATCAATCAAGTTTTCTTCAAAAATGCTTTCCTCCATGTCTTTTCTAAGGCTTCTATTCTCGTCACGTCTCACTTGGAAATGTTTGTGGAGGTTTGCGTTTCTAGTCCTGAGAGTATTAACCTCTTTCTTTTCTACCTTAAGATTATCCATAGCTTAGATAGAGTAAGAAGAAGTTTTTTTTGTATTTTAAAAAAAATAGGTAAGAAGATTTTTTTAGGGAAACATACATCACAACTGAGTGTAATATATATACTAATATGCTCATGATAGATTGACTTTTTTAGAAATATGGCTCACTTACTTTGTTATTAGTCATTAGATCTTTGTTACGCAGAAATGTGATTTGATGTAATTATTTTTCGCGTAAAATTATTTGTTTATTTAATTAGACTTTAAAGTATCTCCTTCTTTAAATTCGTGGAATTTTATTTTAAATAAACGTTAAATTATGAATTTGCTTCAAAATATTTAGGGAAAATAAATTTGTCATTTACATGTCATGCATAAAAATCTAGGTGTATTAAGTGCTGTTATTATATTATTAAATACAATACTAGTCGTAATCAATCGCAAATGTTATAGCGTCTTAATTGCAAAGCTAGGGCACGTGTTATATACCCCGAGTCACCCCCTTTTGTTTCATTCTTAGTTTTTTTTTAGGAATTTGTCCTGATTTCATTTTTATTATGTATTCTGGGGACTTCACCACTAAATAAACTTTGGGCGATACTGTGTTAAAGGTGATTTTGCTAGTACACATACACATGCGATGTATTAATTATTTTTAATAATAAAAACTTATGAATTAGTAACCGATTGTATTGTGGACAAGTTGACCACGGGACGAATTGACTTCCGGCTAAATCGACCACTGGCTAAAAACGATCTCTAGTCAACTTGTCCTCTGGGCGAATTGTCCTTTCAAAATAATGTATATTTGAGTTAGAAGTTAATAGTTCGCATTCATTAATAAAATATAATTTATTTTCGTAAGATCGACATTTAATAAAATTAACTCGTAGAGTACGTTGCGTTGAGGCAGTACAGTACTGATATATTTAATTTTTATTAAATAATTTTTGCATAATCATTACATAATTAAAATCCTTCTGCTATTTACATTCATTCGTTTATAAATATGAACATTAAAGAACTGAATGCAACACAATCGAAGCTGACCGATTATCAAAAACTAGAAATTGCGAATAGCCAGCTTATTGATCTAATGCAGTTCGTTTTAAATCTTTTATTTATAAAATAAAAAAATAAAATAAAATTAATTAATAATAAACTAAGATTATTAAACTAAATAAAATTTATATAAAATGCATCATTTTTTTTTATATGCTACCCCTTTTATTTACTATAAATAAAATATTAAAAAAAAATTACACAATTATAATAAAAAACATTTATTATAAATGACGTGGCTAACCCACTCCGGAATCCTGGAATGAAACTGTAATTAATCTTTTTTTTCTTTTTAAAAATATTAAAAAAAATTCAATATTTTTACTTACCACTTTTGTAGATGTACTCCATAATCCTGGATTAAATAATTAATATCGAAGGTTAGTTTTTTATATTTCTTTTTAATAATTAAATTAAAAAAAATTAATCGTTTACTTACCTCTCTTTGTAAGTTGCCGAAACCTTCCAGAATCCTGGAATCAGATTGAACGAAAGTAAGTAATATTTTTACTTGTCTCTCTTTGTAAGTTGCCGAAGCCCTCCGGAATCCTGAAATTTGGAATAAGAATCGGAATTAAGTAATGCATTTTCTTTTTAAAAATATTAAAATATTAAAAAAAATTAATATATACTTGCCTCTCTTTGTAGGTTGCCAAATCCCTCTGGGTCCTAAAATCAGACATCTTTTCTCTAGATTAAAAACCAAATTCGAGTTTCTCACCCAACTTATTGATCTACTCCATTCTTGCAGTGCGGTTTGAAAGAATCTTTTATTTATAAAATAAAAGAACAAATTATTACTTTGAAATACATATATAAATTGTTTGTTTTTTTTTATAAAATGAATATATAATTTGATTATAATAAAATTAAAATTAAAATTAAAAAAAATAATAATAATTATAAGCTATAATTTTATAATAACTTGAAATGCTTCGTAATAAAACTCGCAGATATACAATCAATAGCTCAGATCGTATACTACAACCTAAAGTCTTTAAAATAACCTATATTCATATTTTGATAGTTACTATAACCTCTATCCACTATTTGAATTCCATTCGCGAGGATGATATCCTCCCACAATTTGTTCTGAATCTTTAATTTTGATTATAACAACCGACTGTCGCCCTTTGTTATCACATTTTGATAAAATGCTGCTTGTATCATACCATTTTTCTTGGACACAAATTTTGAGTCAGCATTCCTTTTTCATGTTCAATTGTCTGGTTTTGTTTGCAGTTTGCCTCATATATGTTGTTTGCCATATAGCACGATAAAGTAAATTAAAGTGATAAGGCATGTTCTTAATTTTATAATGTGATTCGTTATTGGAAAATTGCTAATATTAAGAGGTTGTATATTGATACTTGATTTCTGTTTGGTGCCAAATAAGGTGCTAAGGTGGTATTGAACATTTTTTAAAGTACTTTTTTAAGTAATCTTCTGAAGATATATATTGAAATCTAATTAAACTGATATATCTGTGAAGAGTTCTAAACTTAGTTTGTATTGTAATGACGTCTAAAAATCTGTCCTGTTCTATTCTCAAATCTGCTGCTAAGTTTCTACTAATTGTTTGTTTAGGTTACTGTCAACCTTAGAGTATATCTCGAAAGATCTTTTATTCTTCACTATGGTTGTAGTTTCATTGCCCCATTTGTGACATATTCAGGAATAGTAGGTTTCTGAGCAATCCCCACCTTCCAAATATCAATTTCCTCTAAACCTGTTTCAAAAGTAGTTCCAATAAAAGGTGCTTTTTTACTGATGATAAATTTATAGAATTAATAAATGTTTTGGGTGTTCACAGATTTATTCATAAAACTTACGTAATTTTGCAAAGGACTCGTGTTAATAAATTATTTTAAGAAATTCTATGGAAACTTTTTGTAAATATACTATTGATGAACATCGTAAATCTGCTGATGACCAGTAAAGACCCATAAATAATTTATTACGCGCGAAAGTGACTTGACTAGCTGAGGATTTGAATAAGTAGGTGTGGTAATTATTAAGTCCGAAATTAGGAAGTGCCCACCAGCAACAATGTAAATCGGGTTATCTGATCTGCTGCTAATAATTCAAGACCATCCAATTTCTTAAAGTCAATTTTCTGCAAAATATAAATCTGAAACATTATAAAGAAAAAATAAAGTTATATAATTGCCTTAGTTATCTTACTTTGCATGCACTATTTTTTTTCTTTAACTTAAGATAGCTTTAAAAATTTGTGGAGAAAATGAATTTTTTATTCTTTTCTTAACTTTTCCTTTCCTTTAGTTAGTTCATTACGAAGATATTGCGACTTATATGCAAAATATTTGAAAGAAATGAAATTCTTTAACGCTTTCATTTTCTCCAGCAAATATATTATCATCATATTCCTCGTCCGTTTTCGAGTAAACTTTCGTCGTAATCTTCTTGAAACGTTTGTATACGAAAAGTAAGCAATTTCGGAAATTGCACGCCGCCGTTAACTAAATTAAGTGTGACACGATAATCGATTGAGTGATAAAAAGGAGTGGAGTCAAGATTGAAGTATATTTTTTGAAAAGTAATTTACGTGAGTATGGTTTTTTATACTGAATTTTTGTAGGTTAGGTCAGTTATATTAAAAAATACTCTAATCATTTGCTTCACTTGACTCCACTCCTTTTCGTAATATCTTAATCGTTTTTATGCAATGTTTTCTTTTTTACATTTACGATGTTTGAAAGATTTAACAATAAAATATTCAAAATGACCTATATAACGATACTTAGGGTTCCGCAATTCGATTTGATATTTGAATATTTGATTGAAAATCAAATCAAATACAAATTCAAATTTATATTTGATTTGATTTGATCAAATTCAAATTCAAATCAAAGAATAATTTATTTGATCAAATTCAAATCAATGTTTGATTCGATTCGATCAAATTCAAATCAAGTATTCAAATATTTGATTTG